CACACACACACACACACACACACACACACACACACACACACACACACACACTGCAGCCACAACTAACATCTAACAAGAAAGCCACTGAGCCAAAAGACCTGACTGACGAGTGTGTGGGTGTTGCTATTCAGCCTTTATTTGTACAAACTTATTCTGCAGGTTATTGTGATGTCAAATTATCTTTAAAAATACAAAAAATATTATTTTATCTTTGCAAACTAATTCACAAATTTGTTTCCTTTTCTAGTTAAAAACATTCAAGTAAAAAAAATTTGTTGTGTTTTTGTTACAAATGTCACAAACACCCAAACGGGGGAAAAACACGTTTGTTTTTGTTTACAATTTAAGAATCGTGCACTGAAAATGTATTCAAGCAAATTCAAATGTATGTTCAAGTATTTTAAAGAATAATAAAGTATAACCACACAACAAACAACTGTGTGCTTTTTGCTACGTTTTATTTAATGTGAGGCAGTATTTTGAAATATTTTTCTTCTTCCAACTACAAAAATTATTCCCATAACAAAGTATTAATAATAGTGCCAATAGTTATAAATGACCCAAGTAATGATTTATTTTAAACACTGTTTTCTTTTCTGTCAATGCACTTTTCAACAACAATGTCATTAGATTATTTTCCAAATTTATTTGTACTGAACAAGCTTTCCGTCTGATTTATATGGGGGCAAATTTTTCTCTTTGTAAAGTRATTTAAGCTGCAATATCAACACTGAGATGCAGATTTAACATCTGGTTCTGAGCTTCACACAGGCTATTTTAACAGACAAAAGAGCAGTGGGCCTAAAACGCAGCCCTGTGGTACGCCCATTTTATTGTTTTTATACGTTGATCTCACATTATTTTCTTGGACATGTTGAACAGTTTTAGCTATAAAAATTTTAGCTTGGGTTTTTAACTCTTTTAATGAAAATAATAATAATTTTGTTGAGTATTTAATAAAATCCAAACTATTTAAGGTATAATTGTTGTTGTTTCTTTTCCAAAATAAACATGAAGTTTAATAAAGTGAAAAAGAACAAGAAAAGTTTTAAAAAAGGCAACTGAATAACATTTTTTTTTCTAGTGGAATTCACTGTCCAAATGAGGATTAAAAAGGAAGCAGAGGTGAAAGTCAAAGTGCACCCTCTTGACTTCTTCCCGCCTCTGGAGGATGGAGGGGTTTGCTTTTCACCGCTCAAAGGAGCAAATAAAAGAGCAACGAATGAGTGACTGCTTGAATGAATGAGAGGAGGGCTGCAGCTGAGAGGAGCTCCGGCTGCGATGGAGCTTCAGAGGTTAACTCCGCTTCTTCAAGAGGGATGAAAAGAGGGGCGGGGGGTGGGATTGAGCTTTAAAGAGGAGGACCCCCAACGCCCGGGGCGGGATCAGTCAGGATGATTTATTAGAAAGAGGTAGAGAGAGAGAGAGAGAGAGAGAGAGAGAGAGAGAGAGAGAGAGAGAGAGAGAGAGAGAG